CGGCACGAGCCCTCGCGTGCACGGCCGCGAGGGCTCGTGCCTTTTTACAGAGACACGGGGTGCCACATTCAAAACACGGCTCCGTTTGCAAAATATGGGGGCCCTGAGAAGGGCCGTTTAGACCGCTACCAGAACCTATAACTGACGTAACGAGCACTTGACGAGCGGTTGGCGCATAAGTCGTCTTCATGCACGCAGACGGGCGACGGGCTCAGCGCAGCGGATCACTCGAAGTCACCGGGGCCGTCAGAATCCTCGTCCTCCGCACTATAGGGAAGGTTCCTGTCTGCGTCGGGGCTGTAGATTTTGGCGGCCGCGGCGACAAACGACTGGAATCTATCAGTGTTTCCGCGCGCCTTCTCTCTCCTCCAAAACATGAACTTTGCAAGGGGACCAGTAAAATGGTGGCTCTCGCGCCGTCCAGATGGAATAGAGTTTTTGACGTGGGCCCAGGTGCCCTCCACCGTATTGGTGTGCGCACCAGTGTTCGGGTCGACAAAGTGCAGCTTGTGGTTAACGGTGAGGTGCGTGAAGCGAGCGTCATCTGCAAGCTTGCGATAGCCAGCCCAACAATCTGTGATTATTCTTGTTCCAGGGCGGACCCACTTGGCTATTAGCCCTAGCAGGGTTTTAGCGTCACGGGTCTCCACGGGAACAAGAAAGCAGCACCCGGTGCCACGCTCCACACCGCCGAAAACCCACTGGCCAGGCCTTAAATACCCGCGATGGTACTTTCGCCGCCCGAACATAGTCTCGTCTAGTTCTACAGTCATGCCTTCGCCGCCGATCATCTCTGAATGCGTAAAGACGGCATTTACCACAATCTCCCGACAAAGGCTCGTCCAATCAGTTATTGTCTTACTTGCGACATCAGTCTCCCGCTGAATGGTGGCGCACGGTAGGTTCTGGCAGCAGAGGTAGATGATCTTCATGAGTTGGGGAAGCGTCAGGTGCGATCCCTCGAAAAAAAAATCGCTCCGTAGCGAGAACTCGCCCCGGCACTGAACCTTCACCGGCTTCCTCTTGGGCACCTCACGAGTCATCCATACACCGCATCTCCAAGAATACCCATCCGCAGATCTTGCGCGGACTTGCAGCGTCATCCCAGCTTCGCACTCTGGGCACGCACGAAAAGCCAGGAGCAGGCCCATGCCCTGAAGCAAATTAATTGCTTCAAGAGGGTCTTTCATGGCGTCATGAAGACGGCACAAGTTAAACGCCATGGCTCTGCGATGCTCGCCCCTGGAAGAATAAAGCGCCGAGGGGGCTAAACGAGCAGAACTGCGCGCTTCTTTGCATTTATTATTTTTATTTGATCCGCCTTTTTATACCTCGTGACACCATTCTAACAAACTGATTGGTTAATCGGTCGGGCCATGTCATCGCGTGACAAAACAAACGCCAATCGTATGACCAGAACGGTTGCCACGGTCGGCATCTTTACAAAGAAGACAACTATCGGTCCCAACAACAAAATAAAGTAACAAAGTGAATAAAAAAAAAAAAGAGGGGAGCCATTCTCGGGCGGCGTGTTCTTTGATGAAAGGTGGTGCTCGTAATGGTTACTTGTTTGTTTTCTTCTTTGTTTCTTTACCCTAGAGGATGCCACGACCGTTATTTGAAGCTGATTTGTTAATTCAATAACAAACAACGCGTTGAAACGAAGGAGGGAGGGAGTCTTGGACGTCAGAATTCTTGAAAAGAAAAGTAAGAATGCACAATATATACCGTACTGCAAGACCGTTATACTATGCACTCGGCGAGGCCTCATGACGCCGCCGCCGACCGTTAGGCTATTTACTTTGTTTCTTTAGACTTTTATCGCGACCACTACTCCACCGTGCCTCAGATTTTCCAGCGAAGGTCCGGCAGTTTTTAATAATTATTACTATTGTCGTCTGAAGGGCACTCTTTCTATGCTGCTTCGTTCCTGACGCCATAAAAATATTCTTTCTTTTTAGATTATAGGCGCGAAAAATCCACACTTAGTAGGGAATGAGTAGCAGCACCCAGATGTTGGCCTAGACTCTGCATTACTTAGGCCCTAGTCCGTGGGGATTTTTCGCGCCTACAATCTAAAAATAAAGAATGGCATACACACACATCACACGCTCACGCACTCAAAGTTGGTCTAGAAGTTCAGTGTCCCCGACGTGTTTTTGTAGCGCTTTCAAAACGATACACTAATACCTCCATGTGCTCTCCGGCCCTGGATTTTGGTGAGAGTAAATGGTCTACGGTCCAGCACTTGCAGCGTTCTTCTGATGTCTTATCGTTGGGTGCTGTATTTCCGACATGCACACAAAAGATGCTAATAACAAATATAAATAATTGGGCTAATTAATTATTGGACTAATTGTATCCACAAACCAATCCGACCTTGAACTAAACTTTTTTTTTTTATACGTGGGGCAAACTTTTCCCGCCCATATTTTTATGGCGTCAGGAACGAAGACGAAGCAGCATAGAAAGAGTGCCCTTCAGACGACAATAGTAATAATTATTGAAAACTGCCGGACCTTCACTGGAAAATCTGAGGCACGGTGGAGTAGTGGTCGCGATAAAAGTCTAAAGAAACAAAATAAATAACCTAACGGTCGGCGGCGGCGTCATGAGGCCTCGCCGAGTGCAGAGCATAACGGTCTTGCAGTACGGTATATATTGTGCACTCTTACTTTTCTTTTCAAGAATTCTGACGCCCAAGACTCCCTCCCTCCTTCGTTTCAACGCGTTGTTTGTTATTGAATTAACAAATCAGCTTCAAATGAGGGACGTGGCATCGCCTAGGGTAAAGAAACAAAAAAGAAAACAAACAAGTAACCATTACGAGCACCACCTTTCATCAAAGAACACGCCGCCCGAGAATGGCTCCCTTCTTTTTTTTTTTTTTATTCACTTTGTTACTTTATTTTGTTGTTGGGACCGACAGTTCTCTTCTTTGTAACGATGCCGACCGTGGCAACCGTTCTGGTCATACGATTGGCGTTTGTTTTGTCACGCGATGACATGGCCCGACCGATTAACCAATCAGTTTGTTAGAATGGTGTCACGAGGTATAAAATGGCGGATCAAATAAAAATAATAAATGCAAAGAAGCGCGCAGTTCTGCTCGTTTAGCCCCCTCGGCGCTTAATTCTTCCCGGGGCGAGCATCGCAGTGCCATGGCGTTTAACTTGTGCCGTCTTCATGACGCCATGAAAGACCCTCTTGAAGCAATTAATTTGCTTCAGGGCATGGGCCTGCTCCTGGCTTCTCGTGCGTGCCCAGAGTGCGAAGCTGCGATGACGCTGCAAGTCTGCGCTAGGTCTGCGGATGGGTATTCGTGGAGATGCGGTGTATGGATGACTGGTGAGGTGCCCAAGAGAAAGCTGGTCAAGGTTAGTGCCGGGGCGAGGTCTCGGTACGGAGCGGTTTTTTTTTCGAGGGATCGCACCTGACGCTTCCCCAACTCATGAAGATCATCTACCTCTGGTGCCAGAACCTACCGTGCGCCATCATTCAGCGGGAGACTGATGTCGCAAGTAAGACAATAACTGATTGGACGAGCCTTTGTCGGGAGATTGTGGTAAATGCCGTCTTTACGCATTCAGAGATGATTGGCGGCGAAGGCGTGACTGTAGAACTAGACGAGACTATGTTCGGGCGGCGAAAGTACCATCGCGGGTATTTAAGGCCTGGCCAGTGGGTTTTCGGCGGTGTGGAGCGTGGCACCGGGTGCTGCTTTCTTGTTCCCGTGGAGACCCGTGACGCTAAAACCCTGCTAGGGCTAATAGCCAAGTGGGTCCGCCCTGGAACAAGAATAATCACAGATTGTTGGGCTGGCTATCGCAAGCTTGCAGATGACGCTCGCTTCACGCACCTCACCGTTAACCAAAAGCTGCACTTTGTCGACCCGAACACTGGTGCGCACACCAATACGGTGGAGGGCACCTGGGCCCACGTCAAAAACTCTCTTCCATCTGGACGGCGCGAGAGCCACCATTTCACTGGTCACCTTGCAAAGTTCATGTTTTGGAGGAGAAAGAAGGCGCGCGGAAACACTGATAGATTCCAGTCGTTCGTCGCCGCGGCCGCCAAAATCTACAGCCCCGACGCAGACAGGAACCTTCCCTATAGTGCGGAGGACGAGGATTCTGACGGCCCCGGTGACTTCGAGTGATCCGCTGCGCTCAGCCCGTCGCCCGCCTGCGTGCATAAAGACGACTTATGCGCCAACCGCTCGTCAAGTGCTCGTTACGTCAGTTATAGGTTCTGGTAGCGGTCTAAATGGCCCTTCTCAGGACCCCATATTTTGCAAACGGAGCAGTGTTTTGAATGTGGCACCCCGTGTCTCTGTAAAAAGTTCACAGGAAAGACCCAGCAAAGGTATGTGGTCCCAAACTTGGATATCGCGTGTTATGATTCAAATAAAAAATTTTCTTGTTTATTTCGCGCCTTTGATCCCAATAAATGCCGCCGTTGCAGTCGTCCCGCGGTGCTGTTGCTCGCCCATTCGCCGCCGGCGTGCCTCAGCTTCGTCGTCTTTGCTAGCGGCGCACCGGCGGAGGCGGTTGATCTGCCAAACTGCGTTCGGCTTTGGCTACCAGACGGCGTTCGTAAAATGGCGTCAGCTGTTGCTGGCTTCACGCGGCGGTACCGTGCGTGCTTCTATTCATTCGGCGTTCGTTGCCATGGTGACGGCGAGGAAAGCAGACGAACTTTATGTTGCGGAAGAACGCTGCGGCGCAGCGATACCAGGTGCGTTCTAAGGCCCTTGCCGCATGCTTTTCAATGGGCGGAAGGCGAACAAAAAGAGTTCGAAATAAGGACTTAACGCAGAAGGCTGCATTTCTCCAGCGCCTCATAATTTGACGAGCCTTGCACGAAAAGCCTGTTTTTAGACCGGAGTTTGGAGATGGTTTTTTTTACAACAACATGGGTCTAAAGTATGAATGTGCCGAAAAAGGTTTACCTTAAACAGAAACAAAATATCAAAGAGAAAGAAAAAAGTATATACCCACCAGATGTCATGTACTGTTCAAACTTGTGGCCCCAAAAGTTCATCTTCTGCTCGACCCTTGCATACTTAGGATCCCAAGGTCCTTCATATTCCCTTTTGAACTTGCACAAGTAGAGGGTGTCCTTGTAACGCGTGGCAGAGACCAGCCAGCTTTGGTCGGTGCTGAATGGTGTGCGGGCCACTGTAGCCAGCATACCTCGCTTGCACACGAAGTTCACTCCCAGACCGCCCCTGAAAGCACAAGACATATACACGGTGCTCCGTATAGAGAGGCATTTATGTATGGCGGATATTTTACCCAGAACCGTCTACCTGCGTTATATTACGGGAGCTTGCATCTACTTATGCCGCAAGTCAACTGTGAATCGTCGGTTCCGCGATAGAATTTAGTTTATCGAAAGCGCGATTGACGCGGTGAGCTGTAGTGGTGCTTTGTGACTCCGGACTTAGTTGTGTGTGAGAGAGTTTGAGTACGTTTGAAAGCGTTGCAATCGCGAGTAACCAGGGCATTCGTACTTCGTATGCCGCGCGCCAAGCTGCTTTTTTTCATTGGCTGCCATGCTCCATACGAAGCACAAATGACCCCGTGACTCGCGGTCGTTTGTCATATATCTATCACAGATCGCATTGCGTGCGGCGCCGTTGACGACTCCAGAGACCTATAGGGATCTCCACTATTGGGCAAATATGGCGGTCTAAAATAGGCCGTGCTGTTAGAGTGAACTAGAAACTACTGAGTGGGGCGAGCTACAGCCTCCGCTCATGCTTTCAGTTGTACCTCAAAATGTGAAAGCGATCAGGTGGAACCCAGCCACTTCGATCGCAGCGCCACCTTCACTGCGATCGAAGCGAGCGACGACACAGGTCAAGGTCATATGGGCACTATAGCCCTTTAGGAGCTATATTGTATTTTTTGTACGATTTTGATGTCAGAGGTAACGTCAAAACACCAAGTCACGACGACGTGACGTTCCGACGGCGCCACGACGTCATCGTCGACTACAACGTTACGCGACGCCTAGATGCTGTCGTAAGGCCGTCATGACATCGCGTCGCGTCGAGGACGACGCCGTTTCGCGACATCAAGTATTTGTTGTAACGCGGTCATGATGTCTCGTCATGTCGAGGACGGCGTGGACGTGGTCGTCGATGCCGACGTTGACGTTGATGCCCCACGCGACGTCACACATCGCTATAACATCACGGTAACGTCGTCCTGACGTCGTCTTCAACGTCACACGACGTCACGATGAAGCCTTGACGGCGTGTAACGTCGTCGCCTTCGGCAACATCAACGTCGACGCGCCGTCCCGACGAAGTCTTGACGTCGTGTGACGCCTTCGTCGTCTACGTCGTAAAGTCGTCGGGAGTCCGGGACGTCGTCCTGACATCCAATTGCGTCATGTCAACAACGACGTCGAGGACCTGACACCAAACGTCTTTATGAGGTCGCATTGACAAGGACGCCGTCATTTTGACATCGCGTGACGTGGTCGTCGTCGCCGTCAACGTCAACATCGACGTCGTTGGCAATGCAATATGACGTCAGAACGCAGTCTTGATGTCGTGCAACGCGCGTTGTCAACGTCGATGACGATGTTGACGTCAACGCGTCGTCGTGATGACGCATGACGTTGTAACGACAAGTCAGGTCGCGGTGGCGTAATGTATTGACGTGACTCCTGACGTCTAGGTTGTATAAAAAATATAGCCCGGCGTTCTATTGTTTCATGACCTTGACCAGTGTGCCGGTCGAGCTTGGTGTTGGAACGCAACGCGTTTTTCATTTAAAGGGACCATGAAGGCAGTTTCGAAGTGTTATTCGACGATTGAAATGGATGTCAGGCAATTCTCAGATACTGTTGACCAAGTTCTAGCCCGAACAGAAGTTTGGGTGCCGCACCAATCGAGCAAACAGGCGCGGTAATAATAGCGCCGGGAACGATGCCTGAGACCCCACCGAGGTGGCGGCAGAAAGGTCAACTAGAGTGCGCCGTCGAAGCGTGACGACAACGGGCTCCTCGTCTGGTGATTGGTTCAAACGATAGACGCGCTCTTGGTTTCGATTTCGGTGGTGAGATGTGATGAAAAATTTTTATTTGAACGTTGGATAATCTTTTGAAGTTGTAGTTGGGAATTAATAGGTTTCATACCGTGTATAAAAGCATAATCTGAAGCGATCCCTCCGTTTGTCACTGGTTGAACGCATCCCGCACTGCTACCTCGGGCGTGTAACAAGCATCGAGCAACCATGGACAAAAAAATGAAAAAGAGGTACGAGCGCCGGGGAGGCGGACTTTTCGTTTCGTGCGTCGTTTCGTGTTCGCTTTGCGAACTGATGTCTCACCAATCATGCCGCGTTTATGTGCAGTAGTAGGTTGCGCGAAAGGTCGGCTAAAGACGTGCGGTCGATCGGGCGACGTTAGTTTGCATAAACTTGCATCGCCCTCGTAAAGCACCAATCCAGACTTCTGCGTCCTTAGCAGCATCTCCCGTTCAGTCGGCGTGAGGTCGCTGAACGGGAGCTCAAACTCGTTTGCGAGCGCGGCGTTGTCGTCCATTTCTCCCAGGTTTTCTTCGCAGACCGCCGTGCACTAGAGCTAACCACGAGAACCACACTGAGTGTGCACTAAATCCTACCGATGCCGACAGTGCTCCCTGACGTCCCTTCTCTTTCCAAAGGCGAAAAAGGGAAGAAATCTGAATGTTTGTTTCAGTTTCGCAAATTTATTTGCAGGTACAGAAATAAGAGTCACAACGTTCTAGAAAAAATTGTGTGGCATGCCAGGACCCCAATGCTTCCGCAAACACCTTCTTAAAAAAAAAAAAATTAAATTGCCTTCATGGTCTCTTTAAAAAAAACGCCTATACCTCAACGAGGTGGAGGGGCTTAGAGCGATAAACCGGGGTTCCGGTCTGCACTCGAAAGTGACCCCCATAAGGCCGCTGCCATTGTACACAAATGTGACCACTTGTCACGTAACCAAACTAAATACGTGCCGTCACAGAAAAAATGGCAGCGCCCAGGCAGAGGCTGGCCCCAGCTAGGCTGGAGCTTGTCGGATGCTTTGTTCGTTGTCGATCGTCTCGGCAAACTGATTTCAGACGCGGAAGCCGTCATTAGAGGCCGGTCGAAAGCGACTTTAGAGTTAAGCGTGGTGTCTCACGTAAGTATAACGTGAAAATACGGAGAAAGGGTGTGCATTTCGCTGGTGACCGACGGGGCTATGGCCACGAAACGGACAGTTGGCCTTGCGGTGCTTGGACCTCCGATTGATTCGGATATTGCTAGGATAAATTTTTAGGCTACGTTTTTGTGCTCTCGTTGACCATTGGAGTTCTCGAGGTCTGCAGTGGAGCGTGTTTAATGTATCTGGATACACTGTTTAGCTACGGAAATTACGTGAGTCGTGCTTGGCAGTGTGCAATCGTGGTGCCGCTTAGTTCAAATAACCGAAGGATCACTATGGTTGTGCGGCGCGCCGGAGAGCCGCCTTGAAGCTGGTAGTTCCTGTACCGTGCTAAATGATGTTGTGCTGCTTCTCAAATTGTTCCGGCGGCGCCTGGACTGGCGTACCGAAGAGCTGCCTTTAAGCTGGTAGTTCCTGTGCCCTTCTTTAGCTGATGCTGTGCTGCTTCCTAAATTGTTCTGGCATGGACGTGCACTTTCACGGAGCACAGGTGTTGCAGTTGGTATTGATTCCACACGTTTCGTCGACACAAACGTTTCATCCACACTCGTTACGCGAATTGCAAGCTGTACGGACATTTCATCGAGCGTTTTGCCTACCCAGCTCACCCCCTCGCACCGCTTTGCGGCGACAGTCTGCAGTGGTCCATTACCAGAAAGGAGGTCCCACATCCATTTCAGTTCAGTTCGTCCACGGCAGTCGCCAAACCCCAAAGGAGAGGATTTATTCGGATAGACTGCCACTAAAGCAATGCAGCTTCTTCAGTGGTCAGGATAGGCTCTCCTCTGTCAGTTTTGTTATAATGTCACGGATGCTTGTTTCAGTCCTATCTTCTATCAATATTTACTACTCTGGAAAGTTCCAGGCCACGCTCGGCTGCCATCGTATGTTCTGATGGAGGTGCTGGGTACGTTACCCATAGCCCTTCGCTCTGTGTGCACCCTGGCGGCTTCTCAGCTGAGTTGTCCGATAACGGACATGGGTGGCGGACTATCCCGCATCTTAAACCCCCGGCGAGCCGCGAACCAATTCCTATCTTGAGCCCGGCAGAAAAACGGCAAGACGAGCGAGTACCACAAGAATGAACTTCGCAAATACACCACCATGAACCTGAAATCCGAGCCAGTTGTTGCTACCAGGAAGAACCCCCGGAATTCGGTCTCCTGCCAGAAAAACCGAACCTGGCTAAGCCAACAACGACAAACCTGTAGCAGCAAACCGCGATCCGCTTCCACCATTGTTTGCATGCCCGTCGCACCTCACACTCGGACGCCCTTTCACGCAATGTGTATGAAAACGTCGGGGACTGTATTGAACAATACGACCGGGTCGCCTGCCACAATGGGTGGACAGACGACCAGCTCCTGCAGAACCTATACTTCTCGTGGAAGAAACCGCCAGGCACTGGTTTGAGAACCATGAATCCTCCTTAAAGTCGTGGGAACTTTGCAAGATCGAGCTGACGCGCACGTTCGTCAGCCAACATCGACGAGAGAGAGTCGCATTCCTGATTCCGACCAAAACACGGCCTCAATAAGAGCGTCACCGCCTTCGTGGAGAATGTTTTGTGCCTGATCGAGCGCCTACGCCGACCCTGATGCTACAGAAGACAAGAACCTAAGAATCCCATGTCCCTCATGTGAGGGACGCCACCTTCGGCAGCCTTGTCCGCAACCCCCCGACAGCAGTCGAAGGCACCGAGGCTTTCAAGGCTTCCAAGGCCGAGGCTTCCAACAACTCGACACTCGAGTTGTCCAGTTGATACTTCGACGCCAGCCTCCCAGGCGTCCGCGACATCATCCACGACGTTGCCCGGGAGGAGATCAGGACGCTACTTCCTGCCATCAGTTGCCCAGCTTTTATATTGATTGTCGAGATTGTTTCGGAACAAGTTTGGCAGGCATTTCAACCGGAAACTTCTGCGAGCGAAGCAGCATCTGACGAATTGAGGGCAACTTACGACAGAATGGCACGACGACCTACACCGGCTGCCCCTTCGTATTCAATGCCAATTCATTAAGACACCCCAATGCCGAAGCATTCTCGACATTGGGTATAGGTCTGCGCTGAAGGAAGTACACCGAGGAAAACGGAGGTGTTGCTAATGGCCGACCGAAAACCTCTCTGCTACCACTGCATGAGGCCGACCATGTCTACCAGAGCTGCCCATACCAATGAATCGGCCTGCGAGGGTTCGTGCCGAATGACCCTCAGCCACGTCTTGAGGAGCGACCACCAGACACTGAAGATTACCTTTTGCGGCCTTTGTCCTTGATGGCGACATTACTCCGAAGCTCCTGATCCCCATCACCTGGACGGGAGCTAAGCACAACAAAGCAGGTGAGCGGCAATGCAATCACAGTTGATTTGGTGTCGGTTGTCGTCCAAGGACAATACCTAGTAATTTGCTGACACCAAATATCTGTGTCCACTCCACAAAACACACAATTTCCAGCTTTGAGGGAGAATGCCGCCGAGTGACTTGAAGAAATAGAATGGTTGGTTGTTTTCAAGAATGGACACCAAGCGCCACCCGACTTCACTTTGCCACACGAAACTTACACAGGTTGCAGTGGTCACGGGATGCAGAAGAAATAGCTATTACGAAATGGAAATGAAATGGCTTGGATAGCAAACAAACATTGTTGCCAGCCATCAAGTCAAGGGTACAGTAAAAGGCACAGCCACGCGAGAAATACATGCCCGAGCTTGCTGCATTAACGCAGAAAACTACCAGGGAAATTTGCGGATTAGAAGCCAGCCCTGCAGCTTCAGTGCATCAGATGTCAGTGGCCGCACATGACAAGACGGCATCAGTCAGTCAAATTTTCCACTCAACCAAACTGAACACCGACGTGCCGGGAGCGTCATCCGACAACAAGGAGCACAGGTACTACAACTGAACGCCTGACCCGAGACTGTTGCAGAAATAACTCGTTATGTAACCATTTGCTAATGATAAATAATTTTGTAATGAAGTGGAAATAAACATGTTTGATACAGTAACCAAATAAACACGCTTGTCTTTACGCCTTCAGAGTCTATACACCAGGAATTGTGTTCACGGCACGCGCTGAACCTTTTGAGGACACTTGCCTCTCTGACCTTTCAATATTCATTATTGGGACATACCAGACTGGCAGACTTGTTGCATGGGGCTGCACTCGTTCCACCTCTCCTGAACATGTGGTGCATCCGAAAACCAACTCCAGTGATGTGAAAATGTTATTTATTAATTTATTCCCTCCAGGGGCCTTTGTAAGCATTGCAGGGAGGATACTTAAAACCCTACTTAAAACTACACATATGATAATAACATCAAAGCACACTGACATTAATGAGCACAAAACAGGCCCATGCTACGAAAAGTAAGTACTACACTCGTAAGAAATAATTATTGCTGTAACTTGTTAATTGCAAAAAACAAAAAAAAAAAACTCCGAGCATCTAGTTTAATAGTGTATGTGCTGATGCATTGTTATATAGCAGGACACTTCCTATACGTATGACATTATAGACCATGTGCAAAACTCCATCAAGCAACACAACTGTCTCCATTTTTTTTTCGGCGTAAAGCACACGAATGGGCCCCAGTTCACGTCAAATGCTAATGCAGCATTCGAGTCCAATAGGCGCTGAGCCGAGTTCACAGTGATGGCGGACATAACATTCTTGTCGAACAAATTCCCAAAGTATGAAGCCCTTGGGTAATTAGGGTAGTAGCTACTGTAATTCGTTCCATCACAATTTGGCAAGCGGCGAAAGCTACAGTCACGGTGAGTCGATATGCAAGTTGGAGAGAGGAACATAACAACATGTCATTCAGAGTGCTCGTCTGCACAGACTTGTCACACACCTTCACTCCGTCTCTCGGATTAACTCGGGGGGCTGTGGCGGTTTCCCTTTGCCAAGTTACGGTGATACGAAGTATAGGCAGCCCACACTTTTTGAAAAAAGTCTATTGAAGAGACCGAAAGGAATGGTAGTGACATTTTTCAACAAGACTGCTTTTCGGGCAAGGGATGAACACTAATATGAATAATCCTGTCCAGGTAATTAGAACAAGTAAATAATTGACCGACTAATGCAATACACTCTTGATGAAAAAAGTATTGCTGCAACAAATCAAACGGTTGTTCTAACAGCGAGTCGAATAACTTTGAAGCAGGTGCCTGCAACGGTTTATTCATCCCGTCACTTAATAAAACGTCATCCTCGCAGCTGAAAATAAGTGGTCACTTCGTACTCACAAGAAAGGAAGAAAGGTGATCGAATGTACAATCGTCGGTTAGCACAAAAGGCTAAAGAGCGCAGGAGCTTCCTCGCAAAATGTGACGTATACCTTTCGCTTCGATTCTCAGACATTCCAACGTCCAAACGAAGCTAGAAAAACGCAAATATTTTATGCTAGAAGTTATATCGCAAAATTTCTGATAAGTACAAAACGTAAAGGTCGCAGGAGCTTCCTCGCTAAAAGTTGCTGTGATTATGCAGTACCCCAGGGCTGAAACAAATTTCCCTAGGCCCTACGTCTGACGCATACATTTCGCGTCGATTCTCAGATATTCCAACGTTCAAACAAAGCCAAGAGAATGCGAAAATTTCATGCTAAAAGCACCCAAAGTTCTATCGATCCTCGAACACATCCGGGAATCCGAGCACCGGTACGGCGATACAGAGCTGATGGTGTCTCAATGTCTCACAGGCGTTAATATCCAGATGATACATAGCGACCTTGTGCAAAAACGGTATAAAGTCTAATTCCTTCATATTTTCACCTTATACTTCCGTCAGCGAGCATAAAGAAGCCCCAAGTCGTCGGAAATTTGCTGCACATCACGGCTACCGCACACCGAAAAAACTGCAGCATCCGCCATCTCTGGGCGCTGCCATCTTACCGATGACGTCATGGCGCTTGTGAGGTCACGTGACGAGTGGTCACTTTTGCGTACAACATGGCGGCCACCGGGGGGGGGGGGGGGGGGGGGGTGCCACTTCCGAAACTTCCGGTTTATCACTCTAAGTCCCTCTACCTCGTGGCTATATCCGAACCATTTCGCTTGTGGCGCCTGAGGGGGCACTACGAGCGAAGTGGCTTGGATTAGCTGTTCTTTCCAGATGAGGAGTTGCAGAAATAGCACGCTGGTTCTGCCACGCCACAGATCTCGATGACGATTTGCTGGCTCGATCATATCCTCAGTCCGCTTCGAGCCCATTGCACGATTGCGGCCACCGGTCAGCCAGCTTACGACATCCGCTGAAGCGTGGTCGAGGCCGTGGTCACATGACCTTTGCGTCTGTTGTCCCGTGACGTACAGATGGTAACCATGGTAACTGTCTAAGCTTGACAGCGTTAGAGAGGGTGCCGTAAGATGGCCGACCGGTGGCCGCATTTGCAGGGGGCGATCAGCCATCCAGCAAATCGTCATAAAGATCAGTGTGTCGTGCCACGTGCCACCTCAACGCACAACTCTCGGGTTTCAGCAGGCAAGTATAGGGTGTATTCACTGGCGGCCATATCTGTGTGCGCTAATGCTGAGCACGTGCTGATGGCGAGCTTCCGCACTTATTTTGCCACGTGCACCCCGCACCATCAAGATTGCTGTCCTTGGCAGCCTATTTATGCGAGCTCGTTCTGAGCATGCGCTCTAAACAGTGACCTCAAATATGGCGGCCAGTAAATACCCCGGTATAAGATTTGAATGAAAATTATCTGCCCTGATTTTTATTCACTACGTTAAAACATGCGGAAATGTGGTGGCGAAAGCGAACTTCCAGGGGCTCGAACTTTTTCGGGAAAGCGACGGAAGGACTGCCCCTCAACGGTGCTAATGAACGTTGATAAATGCACAATGCCTGGTTCACGCGTTTGCGCAGGTTGCGTTCAGAGCGACCTGGGCCACACGTTGATACGACAGTAACGACCGAGTCACCGGGACGACTGTTCCATCGCGCCAACCGCGACAACATGGAATCACGGAAGCCACATGAGACGATCGCAGATATTACAAGAGGACCTGTTTCGTCCAGTTTAGTATTTTTCCGCTGGGTCAGGTCCGCTTTGCTGAAATCGTAAGTTGCATTACGATGAAGGGAAAAAAATCGTTGTGTGCCTCCGTTATGCCGGAGTCCCACTGGAGCGACAAACAGGAACCAACGGCAGCGACAAGCTTCAAACCAGATTCTTTCGCGATGTGACAGACTTTGTAGAATAAAGCGGGCTAAGCTCGAACATGAGCATCATGCACGCGAGGATATCTTTGGCAGGCTCGCAATCACTCGTGCTTACTTCACGAGCACCAAAGGACTAAACGATTGCCAAAGGTACCATCGTGAGCACGCTGCATCAGTTGGAGGCTTGTCCGTGTCGGTTGCTTTTTGGCTTGTCACGCTAGTGGAGCTCCGGCATTACGTAACAATCGAAATAGAAAGCCGTGATAGGCTTAGCGCGCAGGTCATTGGCTTTACTAATTCAAGGCACGACACAGGTATCGTCCTGCTCAAGGAGGCTCAGCGTAGAAGCGATGGAGTCGTTGGCTTGTGGAAAGGCGTTTGTCGCTGACCTCGCCCGAGCGCATTCGCGCTCAACACTTCAGCACACCATTGGTGAAAAAAAAAAAAGGTCTCGCTAGATGATATGTGTCCAAGCGCAGGAAAGATCGCGGTCGAGACGCGGCCGACGCTACGAGGCAGTGGGACCAATCAAGCAGCGTCAAAAGCGGAAGTCACTGTGCCTTTTCTGCTTATGGTTGGTGAAGTGACTGTAGACCATGGCGTGCTGGCGAACAAGAAGTGCTTTATTCCTGAGCGCAGCGTTTTTATCACAGACATGACGTCACGAGCCGGGCGGCGCTTCCGCGATGACTCAGTCGCGATAACTCAATCCGCACGCTACAACATTTCCTTCCCCCTCACGCAAAAAATGTTCATTTCCTAAAGTCCTCGGGTTTAAAACGGTCAGGCGGCTTGCATGCGCGAGAAGTTCGTCGAAGGGGTTGCTTCTCCGCTGTCGTAGACGGAACCGGCGTTGCTGCAGTAGGTGTCGCCGGTCCTTCCCGGGCGGGGTCTGCGGGTGGCGCCGTGGTGCTGTTGCGTCAGGCGTCGGCGTCGTACCAGCCGCGTCTGGAGGTGGCGCCGCTAGCGTCGGTGCCTTCGCACTGGGTGGTGCTGACGGCACCTGGGCTGGAAAGCTCGTGGGTGGCGGTATCGATGGATCGTCATCCACAGTCGTACGGCCCGGTCTCGCGATGGGTTCCGCATGTCGAGGACGCAGGTGGTCAGCGTGCGTGAAGCGAAGCTGGTTGAGCACTTTCACAACGTAGGTCGCAGCACTGACAACCTGACACACGATTCCTTCTTCCCAGGAGACACACTCACCGCGCACTGTTTTCACAAAAACACGGTCGCCCACGTTGAACACACGTTCAGCACCTCGCGACACATCGCGTTGTTCCTTCACATGTTCTTGCTTGCGTTGCATGGCGCCGACAAAGTCGGGTTTAAGCAGGGAAAGTTTTGTGCGTGGCTGGCGCCTTAGGAATAGTTCGGCGGGCGTTTTCCCAGTCACGCTGTTTGGTGTGTTGCGATAACAGATCAGAAAACTGTCAACATTTTCCTGAAGAGAACACTGCCGACCGGTTGCTTCGCCTTCGAGCACCTGCTTGAGCAATGCTCGTGTCACAGTTTGAACCGTGCGCTCTGCGGCACCGTTAGAGGCTGCGTGGTAAGGCGGGGTGCGAATGTGTTTCACGCCGTTGGCGTTCATGAAGTCAGCAAACTCAGCTGACGTGAACTGCGGACCGTTGTCGCTCACTAGTACCTCGGGCAAACCGTAAGCAGAAAAGGCTCCTCGAAGTTTTTCCAATGTTTTAGTGGTGGATGTAGAAGACATCACCCAAACCTCGATCCATTTCGAAAATGAATCGATGAGCACCAGAAACACATGGGCACCCCTTGAAGCGAAATCCACGTGCACACGCGACCAGCACCGGGCAGGGTAGCTCCAGGGATGCAGTGGTACCGGACGGGCGGCGGGCTGAACTGCTTGGCAGATTTGGCATTTCTGTACGTGATGCTCGATAGCCGCATCAATTCCAGGCCACCATACAAAACTTCGTGCCAGCATCTTCATGCGGCTGGCGCCTGGATGCTCCTCATGCAGCAAGTTCAGCACGCGGTCCCTTAGCTGTTCCGGGATCACTACACGGACACCCCATGTTACACAACCTTGTTCAAGTGAAAGCTCGTCGCGGCGCACGTAATAAGGCCCAAGTTCTTGCGCGTGCGGTCTTGGCCAACCATTTAGAGTAAACTCAGCAACACGGGACAATGTAAGGCTTCGTTTTGAATACTTTGCAATCTCCTCTACGTTCAATGGGAGGCACTGAAACACTGAGAGGCACTCAACAGGTTCTTCCTCAGCGGGCACCGCCTGAGGCAATCTCGACAGAGCATCAGCCACTTCCATGTTTTTCCCTCGGCGATACTTCAGCCGATATTTATAAGCTGCCAGCACCATGGCCCAACGCTGCCTTCGTGCGGCGGCCAGTGTCGGTACAGGCCTTTCCTGGCCTAAAATGCCTAGTAGCGGCTGATGATCAGTGTAGATTGTGAACTCTCTGCCAAAAAGATAGCGATGAAACTTTTTGAGACCAAAGATTAACGCCAAAGCTTCGCGCTCGCACTGAGCATACTTTTTCTCGGCTGGCGTTAACGTTCTCGAGGCAAACGCGATAGGCCTCTCTTCGCCGTCAGCAGTCTCGTGAAAGATAACTGCTCCTACGCCATACGAGGACGCGTCAGAGAGCATTCCGATCGGCTTATCGACGTCATAGAATGTCAGCACCTGGCTGCTAGTCAGCAACTTTTTCGTATTAGCAAACGCCTCGCTGCATTCCTTCGTCCATGACCATTTCTGATCCTTCTTCAAAAGCCGATAAAGCGGCTCTGCGACTGTTGAACCATTCTTTAAAAACTTCGAATAGAAGTTCAACATGCCCAGATATGCCTTCAATTCTGTGACGGTGGTGGGCTCAGGTGCTGCCAAGATCGCTCTTTTCTTGGCCTCTGTAGGGTAAATCCCATCTGCGGTCACTGTGTGACCCAGATACGTCACGGATTCTTGGAAGAAACGGCACTTGTCCGCGTTGAGCGTGATGTTGTACTCACGCAACCTTCCCAAGACACGTTCGAGAGTCTTTTGGCAGTCTGCCGTGTCAGATCCTGCCACGATTACATCGTCAATGTAGCATCCGACGTGCGGAATGCCTTTTAGCACCTCATCCATCATTGACTGAAATATTGCTGGTGCACTAGCCACACCGTAGGGAAGGCGTTGGAATTCAAAAAGACCCAAGCTAGTGTTAACTGTCAAAAATGGTCTGGACTCTGGAGTGAGTGGCACCTGCTGATACGCCGCAGAGAGGTCAAGTACGCAAAAAACCTTGCCTCCTGCGAGGACAGAATACAGGTCCTCCGGCCTGGGCAGCGGATAGTGATCGGTTTTCAAAACAGGGTTTATCGTTACCTTGTAGTCTCCACAGAGTCTGAGACTACCGTCCTTTTTTGGGACAACGACAAGTGGTGTTGCCCAGTCACTGCGCGCTACTTGTCGAAGCATGCCCGTTTCTACCATGCTGCGCAGCTGGGTTTCTACCTGCTCTCGCAAAGCAAAGGGAACAGGTCTAGCACGGCTAAACACAGGGACCGACCCAGACTTCAGCAAGATCGTCGCTTCGAACTTCTGTATGGTGCCCAGTGTTTTTGAGAACACGGAAGGGTATTTCCTTTGTAGTGCTTGAGCCCTATCTTCCGTTGTGACTTGGCCAATCTCATGCCAGTCCAGCCTTAAACGCTGGAGCCAATTCCGTCCAAGCAGCACTGGAAGCCTCCTTCCATTGTCTTTGACAATTACTACGGGCAACGTCATACTTTGACCCTTGTACACAACAGCGACATCACACTGTCCTTTGAGCTGCAGATGTTCTCCAGTGTACGTGCGAAGGGACATTTTAGCCGGACCACATTTTACATGTGGAAAAACAGAGTCGTACACGCTCTCAGGAACAATTGTGACTGCCGCTCCTGTGTCAATTTGCATGATTAAGGGTTTCCCTTCAACTTGAACACTCACTTCGTAACACGATTGAGTCTTATTTATAAAATGGTACACGTCATGCTCAGTGTCTTCGTCAGAACATTCCAGAGCATTCGTGTTCTTCGGCACCCTTGTGTTTGGACACATTTTTTGCAAATGTCCTACTCTCGAGCACTTGCGGCAGACAAAGCTCTTGTACCAACAAACATTCGAGGCATGACTCCTACCACATCTTTCACACCTTTCCTTTTTAGGCCCTTGAATATCTTTAGGTTTCGAGCCCTTTGATCGTCCCTTTTGTCGACTCTTTATAGCGTTTAACGATGCCTCTTTGTCTCTCGATTGCATGAGTGCAGTGTCTCGAGCCGCCAGTTCTCGATCGAGCGCAATCTTGCAAGCGCCTTCAAACGTTAAGTTTTCCTCGGCAAACAAGGCACGCTGGCTCTCTTCATTACGTATGCCTGCTACTAGCCTGTCCCGAAGGGCGTCTTGCAAGAAGTTGCCGAAGTCGCATTTCCTAGCCAAGTGTTTCAGTTCAACTATGAAGTCTTCTACGCTTTCATGTTCGTCCTGAACACGTCTGTTGAACTTACAGCGCTCCGCTATAACGGAACTCTTAGGGCTGTAATGTTCTATTAACAACTGTTTAACAACTGCATACGACTTCTCGCCAGGGGACGCCGGCACGACCAGACTCTTTAGCACTTCATAAGCCTCAGGGCCTATCACTGTCAGAAATACGGGAAGCACTTTCTCGTCCTTTATGTCGTTTGCCACTAAAAAATGTTCAAATCGTTCCAAATACGATTCAATGTTCTGTGTCTTAGGGTCAAACTCCGATATTCTTCCCAAGCGTGACATTTCGGAACCCCAAAAGAAACACAGTACTCATCCGCTCGACGTTCCCTTGCGTAGCAGGTTGTCCCCGTTGCTGTTCAAGTCGAGTTGCCGAGGCGAAATCTCGGGGGCGTTGCTCGTTGCCCTTTGTCGGTACACGAAGGCGGTGGCCGGCGTGCTGCTTGCGATGTCATACTCCGGGAATATGTAGCGTCGCTGGCAGGCTTCAACGCATGACAAGCTGCGCTTGCACTATCCGTGGCCGTGCGTTCCTTCGCGTCACTCGCCTCGCTGTCGCTTTCCGTTGCCTACGAGGGCACGTAGACAGCCTCGTCGCCAAATGAAGTGACTGTAGACCATGGCGTGCTGGCGAACAAGAAGTGCTTTATTCCTGAGCGCAGCGTTTTTATCACAGACATGACGTCACGAGCCGGGCGGCGCTTCCGCGATGACTCAGTCGCGATAACTCAATCCGCACGCTACAACAGTTGGTTCAGCAACGATGAAACACCCACAAAAACGTGACGAACACCCTGATGGAGCACTTTTGACGCTGTCGGATTGGCACCATCAGCTCGTAGCGTCGGCCGCGTCTGGGCTTAAGGTGAAATGAAATATGGAGGACGAGTTTAAACAGAAGCTTCTTGACACGGACCCGGAGGAGCTCCTGAAACCTCAGCGCGTCAATCGGGAACAGTTCCTGCAGCTTCCTTCACGCGTGAATTGAGAACCGCGCAACAAAGCGGACCAAACACTGTTAGCAACCTTCAGCGATGATGGTACCGCGTTGTGAGAACCGCGCTCTCTAGCTCTTCGATGATCAGCTTCCGAACGAAAGCGCTTGCTTATCCCTTCCTGACGTTGAATGATCAGGTGCGGCTCCTATGTCACTCGTATTTCACAAAATTATAACTACATACACGTCGCAAACCTAACCTAGTCCTGCTGTTCTACGACGATCATCCAGATGACAGCCATTTCGATAGGAACTAGGGCGTCCCATATAGGCCGTGAAAAATGCGAGTGACGCGCCCTTTTCATTTTGCTCATCACAAAAAAAAAACACAAAAAAACATTGTGTTTTTGTTTAGATTAAACGCGTTTTAAGTCCCCAGCCAAATATTCGCAAGTTAAAGGGGCGATGCAACAATTTTTGTACTTCGCGCAAATACCGCTTAGAACAGATCCCTGACGTTAATGACCTATGAAACACGCGTTCGTTTTTCACTTCACGCAATAGAACTCCCAGAAAAAAATTAAAGAAAACGAGCAGCGTTCACCCCCTCAACTCGCAGCCAGAACAAGCGGCCACGCGATCTGGAGCCGATTATATGCCGCCAGTGTTGATCATAACCACGCGCTGGGGTTGGCAAAGCACAGGACACGCGCTGAGTTCCAGACATTGTTATGGCTGGGCTATTGTCGTCGCTGCAGCGATTGGACGCGGGCGACTACCCGAATGCTTCTCGAGCTAGTAATTATCACGAGCCCAAATCGAGTGCCCACGCAGGGCTCGGGTCCAATCTATGAACCGCATTCAAATATCGTCACTTGGGTGTTCTGCGATCCCCACGTTACGTCATCAAATTTTGCAAAGGAGGGATTGAACGAAAATAATTGCTTTTGTCCTTGAAATTTCACCGCAACAAAGGAGTGTCTTGGCCAGTGGCGTTGTGTGCGAGTATCCTTGAGTCCCACTAGTGCCAGTAAGCTCGTGTATAGTGAAAAACATTCCAACTGAATATCGTTGCACAGCTCCTTTAAAGGAGCTATGCAACAATTTTTGTACTTTGCGCAAATACCGCTTAAAACGGATCCCTGACGTTAATGACCTATGAAACACCCGTTCGTTTTTCACCCCACGCAATAGAAGTCCTAGAAAAAAATTAAAGAAAAACGAGCAGCGTTCACCCCCTCAACTCGCCGCCAGAACAAGCGGCCACGTGATCTGGAGCCGA